CTGTTTGTCTCCGTAAAATGGGGATGCTAAGGATATCTACTCATAGAGGTTTGGAGAGGATTAAATAAGGTGCGTCCTGCATAGAGACTCACAATAGAGACCCTCATACTTGTTGGCTTTCGTCAGGGCAACCCTTCTCCTCAGACAATAATTTTGTCTTCCCATTGACACAGGAAGCTTCTTGAGGGCAGGCGCCATGTGTCAGCTGCCTTGCATTCTCTCCCAGTTCCCAGCTGCGTGTTGTGCATGGTAGGAGCTCAGTAATGCCTGCAGACCAGGGGTTAGAGCCCAGAAAGGGGGCCCAGAGCAGGTGAATTTGATTTCTCCCCAGCCCGGAACACCCTCCCCTGCCACTTCCCAGCGCTAGCACACTCCTTCTCAGTTTAAGACTCTGCTCTGTCTGCCTCCTCCAGGAAGCCTTTCCTGCCACTTAGGTCAGACTCCTTCATGTCCCCATTGCAATTATGGCAGATAAATCTTGATAAGTGTAATACTACAGAGTAGTTTAAGCAGCTGGCTCTGAGGAGACTGTGTCCTGCCTCATTCCTCTATGGAGTCTGCTCAGCAATAGCCCAACAAGTTTTAATGAATGAATGAATGAATTTGCTCTGTGACCTTGAACAAATTCCCTCTGTCTTGTTCTAACAAAGGGGAAGCACTCCCTTTCTTACATAGAGCAAGAAAAGTTCCTGAAGGTGGAGGGGGCAGGGCCAGGAGAGGAGTGGAGTGGTTTGTAACACCCACTATGGCTAGATAGGATCCATAAGGGGCCACTACATTGGCTCATTCTCGGTAGAGAATTGCCACATCCCCTGATGTGCCTCTGGTGGCGGGCTGTCCCACATGAGATGGAGGGCTTGGTCCCTTGGCAAGGCCAATTAAAAAAAGGATGTGTATGTTTCCAGACTTTTCCTGACCAGTAACCTGGTTCCTGAGACCTTCTCACAGCACCTGCCCTATCCTCCTGGCCCCCCGTACCAGTCGTGACCTTGAGCAGGTCACCACTCATCTCTGGACCTCCAAGTTTTCTTTTCTACTGGCCAGGGCTTAAGGTATCATCATGGGTCGCTGCCAGGGAAAGAGCCAGGGATGGATCTTTTGGCTGGCTGACCACCCCCCACTGGGGTGTTGGCTCAGGCAGGAGGGTTTCAAGTTTCAGCTTTCAGAGTGTTTTCCTGTCTAGGGCACTTTCTATTTTTCAATATTTTTCCTATCGCAGCCAAACAACAAAAAAGGAAATTGGTGAGCCTCCTAAGGGCTGGGAGGGTGGGGGTGAGCAGAACCCACCATAGGAAAGGCTGGAGCCAGGGCTGGAGGGGGAGGCCCTCTACCCCATTCCTCACCCTCCTACTGCCTTCCCTGCCAGGCTGACTCATTGTTTTGCAACAAACAGTGGTGGCCAGGCCCTGGCAGTTTCTTGAACTCAGCCTCAAAACAGGCTGGGTTCAATCCTGGCCTCCCAACGGGCCTAGCCAGGCCCAGAACGATTGGGTTATCTCGGCCGGCATCCCCTTTGTTTGGGGCGGCAACTCGCCTCACCCGAGGTAAACAAACTCCTGGGCATGTGAGAAAAGAAAGAACCCCATTATCAGTTATCTCCCGAGGCCCACAGAGGCCTCGGACCACGTGCGGATGGATGGAGCAGGATGTTCAGGGACCCTCCGCCTCCAGAGTCTCCACTAGCGGAGAGGAGGCTATTTCAGAGCACAGCAACCAGAGACTGGTGCCCAGGTTCAAATCGCAGCCCTGCCGCTTACTGCTGGTGACCTTGGGCAAGTCTGCTTCAACCTCCTTACCTGCAAAACACGGGGACTAGAGCATTTACCTCATCGAGTTGTTCTGAGCATCGATTATTATTCATATTTACAAAGGGCTATATAAACAATGTTAACTTTTTAAAAAGAACTATATGTAAGTGGTGTTAAGGGGTGAGGGGGGGTCGCTATAAGCAATGTTAAATAAAATAAACCCACCACCCAAGGCCAAGCTGAGGATATTTCCCAGTTCCCCATTTCCTCACCCCCCTCTCCCAGCAGGCAAGGCTCCTTCAGTATTATTCATATTTACAAAGGGCTATATAAACAATGTTAACTTTTTAAAAAGAACTATATGTAAGTGGTGTTAAGGGGTGAGGGGGGGTCGCTATAAGCAATGTTAAATAAAATAAACCCACCACCCAAGGCCAAGCTGAGGATATTTCCCAGTTCCCCATTTCCTCACCCCCCTCTCCCAGCAGGCAAGGCTCCTTCAGATCCCTTCCCTGAACCGAGGGCATTGATGGGCCCCAGCAGGATAGGCACACCAAGGCCCCAAACTC